TGGCAGGTGTGTGTATGCTCCTGACACTCCGCAAAATCCGAGGAGACAATTATTGTGTCGTCTATATATGCGTGGACCCTTATTCCTTGCTGACGTGCGATTTTCAATAGAGCTTTCATCAGTATTGTAAATAATCTTGGCGCCTCTCGTAATCCCATAGGCAATGCTGTAAAAATATATATTTGCCCTTTCCAATTGAACGCAAAATATTTTTGGTGTTCTGGATGGAGAGCCACATTGTGGTATCCTTTTGTGAGGTCTATTGACGTCATAAAGTCTCCCTTTTGTATCCCTTGGATTACTGATGTAAGACTTTCCATTTTAAAATGTTTGTATGGCACACACTCTTTATTCACGGCTTTGCTGTTGAGTATGAGTCGATAGGATCCGTTGTGGTTTTTTACTGCAAATATCGGATTTATGACAAGATCTTGTTGCCAATTTTGTTTGCTGATCACTTTTAACCGTGGGAGATCCTTCACAAGTTTATCTGTCGCCTGGATATCCTCGTTATTTTGTATTTGAGGATTGCTTCTGTCTAGTTCTTGAGGTGGAATTTTCAGGAAATCAATTTTCACCCCTTTTATCGTTTCTAATGTCCAGGGATCCCTTGTGATCTGCGTTTTCCAAAAGCTTATGTGGTATTGTAGTCTTCCTCCCACAATAGTATCTGGAATGCAACTGACCTTTAATTCCTTTTTGCATGCCAATTGGCTCGGCCCCAGTACAAATTCGGGGTTTGTTCGTCGTTCTGACGACGGAACTTGTTGGGTTGGCCCTCCCCTAAAAAACGCTGGAAACGCATTTGGCCTTGTGGTCTTTGGTATGGTCTTGCTTGAAAAGCCTGGTGACCACCATGTGTGCTCGGCAATTTTCCTCTCCAATTTTGCGTTTTTTGGAAGGTTTGGGGCGTAACGCTTGGTCAGCCTTCACTAGTTGTTCAATCTCTTTGACCAATTCACCGTCTGAGAGATTCACCCAACTGTCCCCGAACGATTGCGTAGGGATCCTATTGTTTTGGAATGCACTTCTAACATTTTCATTTGCGTTATTTCTGACATTTTTCTTTCTCTCTTCTTGCAGCATCATATATGCATTTGCAAGTGCCTTTAGAGTGCTGCCCATTGTATCTCTGAGGGGTTCATTTAATCCCTCATCAATGAACACTTTTATCAGTCCATTATTTACACACATGAGCATAGACTGAATTTTTTGCAGCACAGTATCATTCACACGCGCCGATTTAGTCAGCATATTCCACAGCGGATGATTAATATGCGGCACTTTTCCGACTACTGTATTCCCAACAGGTGCGAGGATCTTTGAGAACTCAGTGACGATTTCTTTACGTATACACTGGGTCATTGCATTTTTGTATATCTTTTCCACCACTTTCTTTGCAATGTCTCCTAGAACACAAATAGGTTCTGGATCCTGCAGTGCTGGTAGAAACCTTACGAGCATATTATTTCCTTCATGTATGTCCGCTGCAGGTATTTCTTCCTCGTGTATGTCATTCAAGGTTTGCACTGGATCCAAGGGCTTCTCCAATGGTTCGCCCTGGATGAGTTTATCTATCGCATCTGTACCCGATAAACAAACTTTGTATTAGTTTTTGTTACGTTTTTTTTTTTTTTTCTTGCCTTCAGGTTGAGGCGATTCAGCCATGGACAACTCGTCTTTGCTGATATGGTGATTTTCCGAAAAGGATTCACTCATCATTTCTTTCTTATTCTGTAAATATATATATAGTATGTATAATGATAAATTCAAAGGTTGATCACTGGTAGTATATATTTTGCAAAAGATATTTTCGGCCTACTGGTACACATTTGTACTTGCAGTTTTTAAGGCCTAAATACCCTCCGCGAGGGGTATCCCCGCGCAAGCTGTTGCTCCCGCAAGGTTCAGATGGGTTCTGAGGATGGGGGATCCTGGTTGCTATGTATGGGTCAGTATTCGCAGTGAAGAGAATTTAGTTAGAGTGTAGTAACAATCACCAAAACACGGATGGCGTCACGTGAGTAAAATTAATTTCCCTGAAAATCTTGAAAGTAGACTTTTTATCGTTTATCACTCGATAGAAAACAAATCTGGGGCCAATAGTCTTTCCTAATACTACATGTATACATAGCTTGTAAAATATATCCCATGGTGATACCACCAATTTTTTTTCTTCTTTTTACTATTATGCTACTCATACTTCGAGGGAATTCTAGCCTCACAAGTGATATTCTTTTATCTCATTTCCTGACACAGGCAGAACTTTAAAAGAACAAGCAGTTCAAGATTAGTTCATATATGAGAAAATAAAATTTGACCTTAAGTAATCACATATTCGTTGACGTCACTTCTTCGTATTGTTCAAGATGGAGTTCGACGTCACTGATTTCAAGCCGAGTGTGAATGATAGCAGAAGGTCTGGAAAGCTATAGAATATATATCGTGAGAAACTTGCTCTAGAGCTTTCTTCCGAATAAGCAGCTTCATTTCCTCGAAACCCCTTTCCATGGGTTATTGGCTGCTCTTGGAGCAATTCGGAACCGCAAATATTTGTCGCTTTCTCCAGCACCCGCGGCGGGTGCAGCGTGTTCTTGACCGCATTATCAGCTAGGTGATCCCTTTCCACGGGGATTTTCCAGAGATCCTTCTGGAAACAACCCCCGTGGAGGACGAACAGGAAGTTTCTTACCCCATTTCCTCTTGTTTGCTCAACGGGACACATCGCAATTCTCGGCCATTGTTTCCGTCTCCCGCGGTATCGATTTATTTGGGTGGCTTGATTGTGCAAATGCAGATAAAGGTCCCATTCGTCGTTTTCTGAGGAGACAAAGCAATCGATTCCGTTCGAACAGTGGAACGTCATTTGGTGGACCTAGATTGCTGATGGTCATATGGAGCTCTATTTTTATAGGCAAGCTTAAATTGTAAGATCGCTAAAATCCTGGTATGCTTACGTCGAAAGTCATTTTATTTAATGTGTAACAATAAGAAATAAGAATGTACGTATGATTTCGAATATTCTATCACCGCGAAAGGTGAAATATTTCTAAGCACCCCAAATAATTCAAGGGCTAATTAAATAATTTACATAATTTATACGATGCATATGAGGGCAGATAGGCGTGGGCAAAACAATGAAAAGTCAAGATTTTTCTCACGATGAGCCATTTATCGAACGAGTGCTTTCATTTGCCGAAGATTTTATTTAAAAAAAAATCGGTAGCACGTGTCCAATCCAGGGCATGTTTTTCGTCAGAGCCTTCAATTCAACTTGATCTGGTGAATAAATTCATAAATACATATGCTCTACTGTATAAGAAGGTAACAAAACACTTGGTGATGGAAAAAAAATTACGGAACTGCTGTTGGTGAATAACGTCGAGTGATTCACAAAGAAAAGAATAAGCACAATTTTTACTTTTACAGTCTCGTGAACAGATTTAGGAATTATTCGTGGCCAGTATTCAAAAATGAATCACTTTAATGGATCTTTCTAAAAAAAAAGTAAGTTCCAATGTTTGCCTTATCATCAGCGCATTAAATGTTTCTAAATTTTTTTACAAAGCATTCATTGCAAGACAAAAACGTTTTCATATAATACACTAAAGCGACCAAAGCATTTCCTGCTCCTTGACCGAAAAAAAAAATTCTGCCAAGATTTGTGGCCCGAGAGACAATGGGTTCCTACTGATATGTAATGAGCATCGGTGTTTCCTTATCCCGATTAATTCACAAGACCCTCGCATCAATGGACATACTTTATTTAAGCAACCCCTCGGACTTCACCGAATGGGCGGCTGAGGCCACCGGGATGCAAGCCGTTGGTTGACCCGGCAATGTTTCTTGTGAGCTGATTAGGACCATGACCCAAGGATGTTATAGTGGTCGTGCACACCATACGGACAATTTATACAAATAAAGCAATGTCGCTGCTGAATCTAGCACTGGTGTTGCCAGAGACTGTGTACGTATATGTAGTGACGATGGGCTGTCCAGTGAAAATCTTGGAAAATCGGGGACGGTCTTCTGGAATTCGTTCAACAACGCACATTTTCTTTTTATTTGAATACAATACCAGCAATTCTAAATGTACTGTATATCCCGAAATTGAGACTGCTGTTCTCGGCCGATACCTGAATTTCTTAATTATTGGATGTTCAAATTACACTATATACAATTCAATCCTCCATTGATTATTTTAAGTCGCTATCTCAATCTGATCCGCGGTTTTACGGACACGCAATTTGCATTAATTTTTATTTCTCGCTAAAAAAATATCCCCACTGAAGTTCTGATTGTAATGCATGAAATTGTTTGCTCGCTTCCACAAATATTTTAACAATAAACTCGAATACATTTTTTGATAATTTGATGGGAGGGAAAAATGGAGCTAATGAAAAAGTTTAGCTGACAGCTATTTTTCGACGCAATTTAACGATAAAAATTTGATTCCTCGTTGCTGGTTCAATTCGAAAACCTCACATTGATCGCTTAGACGAGTGTGGGTACAGAGATTTCGGGCTGAGATTCAAGCTGCTAAGGTTTTTCGGTAGCAAAGGCGGTTATCACATGGCCATTTTGGCAACACTGCCGATGTCACAATGGGTAACAAACGGCCGTGCGAAGTTGCGTGTGCTATCGGCATTTATTCTATAGAACGCAGGGTAATTTCTTCTCCCTTGGTCCCCAGTGTTCCAGGTACATTCTACAGCAGAGCTTTCTATTCATTCTCTTTTAACAACCGGCATTATACTCCAAGAGCAGGAATCGCAAAAAAAGAATAACGGAAAAAGGAGCGTCAGGGTGAAAAAAGATTCTTTCCACAGAAAAAGGGAAAAAGTTTTGAAATGAGCGCGGTTCGTTGCTGCAGTAAAACGAGGAAGGCATATTTTTATTTCGTAATATATATTTTGAATTTTTTTTCCATCAAAAAAACCTATCCCGGAGCTTGGCTTTTCATTCCATCGCAGAAAATTCCAGTTGACGAAGACGCTCATTTATCTGTCAGTGAGCGTGAAGCCCTGCGTCTGGAAAAGACGGCTGACACCGGCTGTAAAACAACGGAGATTTGAAGCTTCCTGGAATTCAGCATTTTGGCTATGGAGTTCTTCCTGGAAAAGGAATTCGAGCAATTCCTAGCTTACCTTTATTTTATTTTTTCTTATGGTTTTCGCGAGTAAGCGATTAGGGATTTCCTCGGTAAGCACGCTATTTTATTTTATTTTTTCATTTTGTCTTCTTTACTCGAGACGATAAGCCAATAGCGGTGTTACACATAATCATAAGCGGTCTTGACATTGACGATATATAGGATCTCTGGATATACTCATATTACATAGTACAGTATATATTTGCTTCTTTCAAGACTTAGCCATGCTTGCAGAGGTTTAAAAATATGAGGAAGCTTTTCGCACACGGTGATCCCATGTACAGTGGAAATAAAATCAAACGTATTGATCAGGTGTCACCTTGAAATTTACGAATAAAGTACTGTATCCAAATCTCGGGAAACACATGTAAGATAATTTTTCGTAGCTGTCATAAACCTGGAAAGCAGTGAATGAAACTAGCAAAAATATATCTACGAAGAAGAATTCTAACGAAATGCTGTATTGCATAAACTATTATCGTCCGCAAAAATGATTGACTTTGGGTTCCCAGGATGAGACATATGAACCATCAGGGGTGAATTCTATTCGAATTATGTTACTTTGGGATGAGAACCAATGCAACTATTGCGTGATGTAGAATAAGTGCATATTCATTCGGAAAGAAATCGAATCTGAATAAAAAAGGGTTTCTGAACTGATATTTTTGTGGGAGAATTCCGATCAGCAAATTTCGATGCAAACTTTATTTTCTTTATTGACTTTTGGGATTTCCATGTGCCTCAATAATGACTCGCATATTGTAGTTTAGTCTTGGCTCTAGTCCAGTGACCTAAAATTGAAGCATCACAGCAGATACTAGTTTAGTTGACTAAAATACACTCTGCAGATATGAAAAATGTAATCTATGCACGGAAAACCATGCTGAGACAAAGCTATACCTAGATTTAAAATTTGATTACTTAAGCCCACATGCAAATTTGTCCTCATTAATCCAAGTTTCCCTGATGCGCAAACGGATAACTTTTGATGCCTTCCAGTACTGTTGCGACTTGAGCGCATATTCCGCCCTTCCATTGGCTGAAGTGCATTTTTTTTGTGTGCTATCACTCAGATCTTTGTTTTTTTTCTGAAGACAAATATGTCACAATTCCTCTGGTTTATCGACGCGTAATCGGATTGCAAACTTCCTACTACAATCAAAATGCATTAATATTTTTTTGGAACGAAAGAAGAAATGAGTCACGGACTTAATGATTGCTCTTGTATTCAGACTAGGTCAGAGTTTTGGTCGATCATCTTTCAAACGGGTTCTTTTCGTGGTAGCATTCACATACTTTATTCCAGATAAGCGATTTAAAAAACATTTGCAATTATTTTTTCCCTCTATGAAAGAAACGATTTAAGGGAAGACCATTTACTCGAGGTTCAATTTGTCTTTAATCACTCATTATAACGCGCTTACCAAAGTTTGTATTTTTGGCTCTCGTTTCAAAATAGGTTTTTACGATACAGTTGAACCCTTGATAAGTCAAACGTCTCTGATTGAAATTTTATTCAAGTCCCCGTCTGAATTCCCTCAGAAACAATAATGCATTAAAAATCTATTTAACCCCAAGTCTTTTCCTCTCAAACCTCCGTAAGTCAAATTTTTTGAGAAATGTCGGCTATAATCTTCTTCCCCGGTGAAAGAGAAGATCAATAAAACAAGTAATTTATGTGCCTTGAAAGGAAGTGTAAGACTAATTGAGCAAATGAACCCTTGCCTCCAAGTTCAGAATGCTGTACATTGATGTAAAAAGCAAGTTAACTAGTCAAGGCCCAGATTATCCCCACTTGAAATTTCGTGCAATTTTTTTACGTTTTCCCACAAAAAATGCTTGTTTCCCTAACTCAAACCTCCCTAAATCTAATCCTCGGTAAGTTGAAACCTCCGTAAGTCGTCGAATTGAAAAAATCGACTTAGGTTTCAACTTACATGGGCTTAGAATTTTGTGGCTGGTCCCTTGAAATTTGACTCAGATTGGTTTGACTGTAATGTACTCCTATTTAATCTTGTATCCTCAAAACGCGATGTTTGCCATGGAAATACTTTTTTAACAATTGCTTTCTAATGAAATAAATTACGCATCGATTTTTCTAGGCTTATGAAGTGATGACTTTCCGGATAGGCGATTTTTCTCGCTTCCGGATTTTCAAAATGCAACTCATCCCGCGGCTTACGCGGAGGTCGTTCATTTTTTCCTTTAAGATACTGTAGTATTATTTGCAGAAAATATAGACTAATCAATATAATATCGCGCAAAAGGGGCTTCCTTTTTTCATCATCAGGATAACAATTTCGAATAACGGACTCACTACACAAAGCACAAAAGGACATTTTTCGCTCATGGTATTTGGGACAGACAATCTCGAGGAAAACGCCGAACTCTTCCTCCTTCGGAATTTGAATTTCAGGAATTCGCCCCCTCTCCCCCTCCGAAATTCCCACTCGCAGACTGACCAGCACATAATGCATGGCGATTCGGAACAAGGGGGGAAAATACGAGTTCAGTCAATAATCGATGGATCGGGACTGACTGGAAAAACAGCAAGCGACACAGAACATGCTGGTGTTGTTCCAGGCCCGCGGAGCCAAATCAATACGACTACGTGCTGCGCGGTTATTATGCCATTTTTCAAGACATTTCTCTGACTAGCCAATCAATTCCTTAGAAGAGCAATATCCTCGAGCCCGGGCCCGAGCCAAAAACAATAAAAAATAGATTTAAAAAAAAAGGTCTTCGAGTCGAGTAATCGCTTCGACCGGACAAATTCTTTTTAAACGACCTTTGCCCCATCTTTTCGCACAATACCATTAAGCGGGGAAGCGTGTAACATTTTCGAAGAAGTTTCCAAAAGATTCGACGCACGAGCTTTTTTTAAATTGTGTAAAAAATGTGGCATTGAACCGTTCGTTTTTAATGAACAATCAATAAAAAGGATATTATATCGCAGAACAATTGCTGTGGATATACTGTATATTGCTCGATATGCAACTCAGAGCTCCCGAATCCCTTTATATTCTGAAGTGAAAAAGGCAGCTGCTGCATAATAAGCTTTCTATGCGTACATTTCTGGCTTTCCGAACGAATTCCGTAGAGAATTCCATGCTCTTATCGAAATCAGTTATTTTCATCGAACCAAAGCATTATTTACTTTATGGTTAACCTCCTGCCGTATCGCGTTTTCATGCACAGCGTTTCTTTTCAACGTATAGTCGGAAATCTCAAAACAAAACAGAAAATAATATATATTGTCGTCTTGTCGAGCAGCAATTTGTAAGCTCAAATACTGTAATTATAATGCAAACGAAAAACCGTTCAAGTTTTGCAGTCTTTTCGTCATCGAAAATGAAATTTCAGAGGACAAGCAAAATCTTTTGGGCCGGTTAGTGAAGTCATGAATATATCCTTAAAATACTGTACAATGAATACAGCTTTCTCCATCACAACTTAGTACTATACTAATCGGAAATTCGATTAAACTTGGCAGCATGTTGTACAATCTACATCGAGAAAATCTGTGTGTATACGTTGTAATATCAGCTCAAGCCTTTTTCCAGGTGTGGAATAATAATATTAGATAAGCTATTGCGATTTGTGAAAATTTCTGATGGGTTAATTTGTTCGTACTTTTAAGTATAAATTCAAAGCAGGTCAAATAATCAAGTATATTCGATTATTTGGGCAAGTTCTACTGGCACCGTGCGCAGTTATAGTCTCAATTCTAGTGAATTGCCCTGAAACCAGCTGTATTTGCTTGGAATGTGTGGATATTTGGTATTCTAATATTCCGAATGTAGTCTAGTATTATAATGTACTCCAGTATCACGCACCCTCGAGTTATATAAGACGATCAGCAACAGTTTTCAGTCACATTTTCAATCCGAAAATTTATTGCTGAGTAAAATGCGCACCCCATTCCTAGTGACTCTAATAAAAGCTGCAATATTAAAAAAAAAGAACGCCCAAATTTGTATTCAGTCTGGGATTGATTCTAAATTCAATAAATATTCAATTTTTTCAATTACAAAACATTTTTCTGTTGAAATTGGTGAACATTTCCCAGCAATTAGAATAAAATATAATGCTGACATAAACTTCTAAAACTTTAAACAAATGTCTAACTGCCTATGGCAGGCATAAGGCTTATTTTTCTCTCAATTTTGAAAAAAAAATGGGACCCGTGGTACTTAATTAAATACGGTAATTCGAATGCTTAACATATTTCTTTAGGGTGCGTTAGTTTCTAACCAAAGAGATGAAACCTCAAGACCCTCTTCCTATACTCTACTGTATCATATTACTTCCTGTTTGCGATGGGCTCGCCGGTTTCGCTGGACCTCGGGAAAACCCTCGATAGTTCTCAGTTATAGAAAGAGGAAATATTCACCCTGATGTTGATGAATGCCCGGTGCAAGAGACGAGGAAAAGCAATCACGGCTCTCTGATTTGTGTCTGTCACAATCCCGCGCAAGGAAGGTGGGAGTATATAGAGGAAAGCACTGCGGAAAACGGGACACAAAGAGAGAGAGAGAGACCAATGAAAGCATAAAAACAAAATCTTACGACTGTTGGAAATAGGGGGAAAATTCCTGGTTGCAGAAGCGGGTGCATTTGTGTGGGTTCCTGCTGCGGAAGTTGTTGCGCCCGGGGGGCCCTCGTAGAGGGAGTGTTGTTTTTCCGGCGAAAGGCGCCTGGGCTAAGGCAGAATTATTCCAGTGGTTGGTTTACAAGTTTTGAGACTTTTTAAAAGTGATATAACAGAGTTTCTACAATTGAAGATTTTTTTGTTTTACTTGCATAGCCCCTGATAGGCAAGCAAATTAATGATGTACAGTAATTGAATTGAATCTTCTAGAGTTTTACCTCCCTCTTAAAAATCAATTGACAAGCCTTATGAAGGGTCTGTAAAGGCTATTGAAGGTTAAACATAAATAGTCATGCTGGTAAATTGCATGACCTAGAATGAATAGAGAAGAATCATCTTAACCATTTTAGCTAGTTGAAGCAAGAGCTTGTTAAGTTGTGTGATCTTATTCCTGAATTATATACTTACTTCTTAACCCAGGAATTCTAAAAAGGAATTCCAGCCCTTGTCCCGGGCTTATTACTGCTTTTCAGTTATACTCTTACTCTTTGCAATCTGCTTTACACACCAAGTTATATTGAGGCAACATATGTCCCCAATAGCCCCTTTATTTAGGAACACTTCAGTACGCAATGTTCAACATTATTACTACTGCTTTTCATTACTACTACATCATTATTACTGCTTTTCAGTTATACTCTTACTCTTTGCAATCTGCTTTACACACCAAGTTATATTGAGGCAACATATGTCCCCAATAGCCCCTTTATTTGGGAACACTTCAGTACGCAATGTTCAACATAATCATCACAGTTTCAATGCATTTTTGCATGCATTGAATCCAACAATTAAAAGAGTGCCAAAAATTGATTTCTTGTGGTTGATTAAACCATGTGACTTTAGGCTGTTCCAGACATGGATTTGGAAGGGATTGATATGGAGGACAGGGACAGCCTCATTTCTGGCATAAAAGAACAGCTTAATCAACTAACGGAACTCAATTTTGGCACTCATTTCATTTTTGGAATTATTACTTGAAAATTAATTTAATGTCTTAATTAAATGTCTTTGAGTGGATTTGGGTTGGGTGGGGAGGGGGTTTGAATGTGGAAATCTTTATTGAACCTTCTGAATGCTGAAAAGCGGCAAATAAAGTGCTCTGTTCATACATTCATTCACTTGAAAGCAAAAGCATTGAAATCTACGGAGAGGATGTTGAGCAGCACTGCGGTGTTGCCAACTGATGGGGTTATATGCGTGTAAATGTTTTTCCTGTTGAATGGTTGGAATTTTGTTGGATCTATTTCAAGAAGTCGAAAACCTTATGAACCAACCCTTGTGTATACACTGTACACTACAGTACTGTATTCCACTTTATTCTATAAGGGAGGGACAATTGCTTCCCAAGTGCCACCGCTGGTGTTATGGACTTCGGTCCAGGCAGCAGATTCTCCCATGCTGTATACTGTACAGAAGCACTGGGTGTGACACCGGGGATAATCGTATCATAGTAAGAGAAATCATATTAACCGGGATGCACGGATTCCAGACGCCTTTGCCCGGAAAATTTAGCATTTACTGGTAATCTCATACCTGATGGGAACTCGCCTCATCATCATTTTATGCGCGTCTATATGATCAACCAATGAAGAAAAGAGAAAAAAGCCAAATGTGACCATGAATATCAATAATTTATTCCTGAAATTCCCATTTGTTTGCACTAGCCTGGATATTTAAGAAAATAAAATAGGTCGGATCCCGTGAAACCAATTCATATGTAACTGGAATTAATAATCACGCCTTCTCTTTTTCTGTTAAATAATTTAAAATCCTGGAACGATTAATTGGATGACGGACCATCTAATGTGAGTTGCATTATACTAAACTACCAATATATAGAATGGGTTCTCTTTCTCTCTACAACAATCTTATATCCAAAATTGTCTCTGAGCTACGAATTCCAAGATAATCCAGGCAGCAGAATTTTATATACTTTACAGAAGCGCTGGGTCAGAAGGGGAATAATATAATACTAAGAGAACTCAGACTAACTGGGTTACAGTTGAACATCAATACAGGTGGTACCGTGCAATTTGACCCTATAATCTGTTGCCAAACTAGGGTTAAATTGAAAATTGTTCGGATTGAAAAACAATCTGTCCAACTTGGATGAAGGACCGAATAATCCGAGTTCTTTCGTGTTAAGCTAACAATCTTACAACTGAACTCAACCACGATCGCAGACAGACGAAAAGTAAATAAAATTATATTTAACTTCATGAAACGAGAGCAATGGCAAATATGCGTACTAGATAATTAAACACATCGGAATTTCATGACAAGCTCTCATGTACATGTGTATGATTTATTGGCAAAGTTGCGAAGGGAACCTGGCATTTTTTTATGAAACTCGAGAAAAAGTGCAATATATTACAGTATACTACTTTCTGAACATTGGATGAAGTATTCGACATGCAAGTCTGGGTTCAGACTTCAGAGCAACTACGAAACATTTGATGGATCCCACGAAAGTGAAATTAGCTGACGAATATGAAGTTTTTGTTTGTTTTGCGGTTGACCTTATAACTTTCGGATCATGCGTCTCGTCTCCGTATACCTATTTTTTCGTACCGAGACTTTTCATTTCTGACGCACTTCAATCGTATGAGCTGTCGTCAATTCTTAATCAAAAACTCAAAATCGATGCTTCAATCAAAGCCTATACTGTATTGTGTAATGCTTTCCCTGACCTCCCTAATGGACTCCCAGAGGAGTGCTCAGAGATCCCTTGAGAATTGTCGTATGCATCGCAGGCTCTGAACCTCTGTCGTCTTAGGTTGATATATTATCTTGAACCTGCTTGTCTCATCATTTTCGATCATCCCGCTAAATTTTCGGATGAAATTGAGAAGAGATTGCGTAAATACTCGAAGATTTGGGGAAATCAATAGGCATTCTCCTTTTCATCAACAAAGTTAATTAAAGGTTGTAAAAAAAAAATTCTGGAAACCAAGGGAATCGAAGGAAGTCGTTCATCTTTCACAGTTACAGAACGACGAAGACTATCACCCAATTCATCATGAAATACAGTACAGTATATACAAGCATCATATTCGGTTTCAATCAGCAAAAGCATTAAACAAATTCATATTTATATGAAGCTTGAAAACGGAGAAGATCGGCTTTTTAGCATCGCTGGAATTGGAGACCGTAGACACAATCTAGAACTCCGAAGATTTGTTAGTGGAGTGCAGTACTTCGGAAATTGTTTAATTCACAAATACTGTACCTGTATACGAAAAAGAATCATCTGAATGACGCAGACCCCAATTTATCAATGCTGGGTTAATAATAAAGATTGAAGCACGCCTTCGTTCCTATTCCGAGACTCGAATGAATTGATTAACTTCTTTTTATCCGATTTTCATTTTGAGGCCACCTTAATATGAAACTCAGACCAAAAATATTAATATCAGAAACTTCTTTCATGGGAACGCTACTTTTCAGATCTGGACTTTGATGCTGAAGATTTTTGCCATTTACCTTTGCAGAAGTCAAATTACGTGTTTGTAAGCAGTAATACAGTAGCAGATGAATTATTCTTATTTTAAGTATTAGGGTGTGATTTCAAGCCATCTTGAAAAAATACCTGAAAGAATGTACAGAAAAAGTCAAGCATTAATTAGATGAAGGGAAGTACAGTACATCCTCATATATACAATATTTAGAAACCCATCAGCTTTTTAAAGAAAATCAAAAGACTAACAAAACTTATGAACTAACCCTCGTTTGTTGGGCTGAAGGCAGCGTTTTATATGCTTTCCATTATTGCTACTGGTTTTCTTGAATGCCCAGCTCATTTCTAAAGTGGAAAAACAAAACAAAAAACGATTTGTCAAACCAGCTGTTTGTCAGACAGACTTTTTCGAAGGCAGCATGGGGCAAATACGTGACCGAATGAGACGCAATGAAAACAGCCTTTTCTTTTTCGCTGTTGACACGTCATGTAAAGTCTTGACACCACCATCACACACCACTGTAACTTAATTTCCTCACGAAACCGTTGGTTTATTTATTTATTTTGCTTCCTGGAAAACTTGAAAGCAACTAAGTGATGCATGAGCATAACACGTGAAAGCAACGTCTTTGAGAAGAAATAAAGCAAAGAAACCAAAAAACGTTCGGGGTGCGTGTTTTTCGTTGAACCCCGACCTTTTGGACTTGACTGCAGGGCAGCAGGGGGAGGGTTTTCTCGTGATATCGTCATAACGATAAGGTCAAACACAGGTCTGCTTTCCGACTGTGAGTCCGGTCGCTCATTTATTCTGGACACCTAATATCCTCAAATCCTCATAGAGTACGCCGTACCTTGGGGCACCGAAATTGTGCGGAATTTTTTCTCGACACCAGCGGCGGTGTCGATTTCCCTGAGAAGGGACAAATAGCTCGAGTTTACCAAAATTGGCGCGTCTCGGGACGCGCCCGGGGTTGTAAATTAATCCCCTTGGCGGGGAAACAGGCGGGAAGGAGGGTTTTCTCGTGATATCGTCATAACGATAAGGTCAAACACAGGTCTGCTTTCCGACTGTGAGTCCGGTCGCTCATTTATTCTGGACACCTAATATCCTCAAATCCTCATAGAGTACGCCGTACTTTGGGGCAACGAAATCTCATCGAGACATCGAGGTTTGTACTTGACCTTGTACTTGAAAATAAGGACTTTTGTCACAGACGTTTTGGTATTGTCCTTGGAACTATCGTCTAAAACCATGGGAAGAAAACCACCTTACATATCATTTCCCCAAAAAATATGAAAAATTATTTGTAAAACTATATATTTACTTAGTGCCCGCGTATCATTTTTTTTTTGTGATTCGCTGGCTTTGTTTAATATTCAAAAAATGTCAACGATTGCAGGTTTTCTTTTATATGTTTGGCCTGCCTTTTAAATTCAGTGATTCCTAAATTGAACAATTTTTAACTGACCGTATATTCCAGATTTTTGTAGTGAATGGAACAGCTAAAATTTTGTAATTCAAATTCGATCTAAAGTATATTGATGTGTGAGTTAAAATAAATTTAATTTGTAAATATACTGAAACTTGAAGAAGTTTAGGATTTCCAGAAAGAAAATAGCATGTCATAAAAGCGCAATATGCAGAAAACCATGATGATCACATACCTTGAAGAAGAGTTCCTTGTGGCGTTAAGGAGCTTTGTATGCACATCAAACTCCCACGAAGGCCTATAAAATCATATATCAGATCATGATAAAATAACTTTATCATCATATCCTTGAGTAATTATCTTTGTTCTTCATTTTCTAACATTCACTTGGTAATCAGTTCTAAAATTTCAAAGTTTTGCTGGTCGCTTTTCACCAATATCGCCATGCTTCCAGAGTTTCCTTTTCAGTTTGCTGCATCAGTCACTGATAATTTTCGGATTTCATTCGTGAAATGGATAAAGAAACCTTTATTGAATGGAGGAATTTTCTAGGTACGCTACAGTACATCCTTTTTAATGCTTTTTCTTGGCAGAGCGGATTTTTGAGCCTCATCTCATGAGCCTCCTTTCGTTTCCATCATACGGATAAGGTTTTTCCGAACTCCAAGACTGGATATCCCAGAAGCTATTTTATAAATGGAACAATGAAAGCCAGAGAAATTGCAGTGACTGCTGCTGGACTTTTCTTTTTTTTCTCTTATCGATATATACCGATATTGAGAGAATAAAATGCAAGACTCGGAAGGCGTGTGAAGGGAAATAAAACCCGAGTAAAATGGTAAAAGCACGTGCCTCGCCTTTGTGCTGTATAGTGCATCAGCTTGAGCGAGGACGAAGGCTGAGTTTTCCATTACGCTGACTCGAAGCCCGGTCTCAATCATCGCCACTCGGACGGAAAGAAATCAGGAAAGCGGGGGAAGATTATTTTTCGGAACACCGTACTTCTGGATGGAGAGGCGAGGCGGAAAGTGAAGAGGCAGCTTATATATATATATATGGAGCTGAATGGAGCAGAGCAATACGACGATGTGGGGGAAAAAATTATTCTTTTAGGCTTTCACGTAAGAAAAAGAGAGCTTCAAAATTGACACGTGTTCCTTCGACGATTGACGGAAAAACCGGCGATTCTTGTCAACCGTCCCCAGCAGCAGCAGGGATTATTGTTTTTTCCGTCGTTCTAGAAGAAACGGATTAATGCAAGCTGCTATATATATATTTTTAAACCTCTATTAAAATAAACAGCGATAAGAATTTCACAAGCAATTATCTCATTCTTTCATCGCGGACTCGAATATTTTTGAATACCCGTGAACTCGAGTCAGCAAGGATTTTCTAAATAATTTCAATACGGAAAAAGCTCACTTTTTGCGAGGAAAAAAAATCAGAAAGAGGTTCATACAAGCACCAAAACTTTTCATAAACGTTCATATTCATAATATATATTTATATTACTGTACAGTACTGTAGTCTATTCGCAAACATGTTGGATGCATCCCGACCTCAAATTATGAGCACCAAATCTTGTTTTCCACCGCAAGAATGACGGAGCATACGACTGTTTTCATGCATGTAAATTTTAACTTCTTGTGGCGAACAATTTTTCAAATCGAATGAAAGATTATTCCTTGATTGATTGCACATCCATATGTCGGGTTCGAATACGACGAGTTTAAAAAGTTCGAAATATTTCTGTTTTTCAGTCCAGGTTAGATCGAGGGCTTGATGAGATAATTGGTTCTGTTGCCCGTGAAAATTTAATAGTTTATTTCGATCCTCCTTATTCTATATGGTATAATTTCAACTATTTCAGCATTTGCGTTGACTGAGAAACGTGACAAATGAAAGAATTCGTCGGACAATAAAGGCTTCGAAAAAGCACTAGAAAGAAACTCGCCGCGCCGTTGATGATGTGATCGTGTCGATTGACAAAATTGTCTACAGCTGGTCTTTGTATGTAATGATTCAGGAGACACGATAAAATTCCCTCACGAATGAAAATTTACGACTACAATAAAAGCCCGAACGGGATTAGATGAAAACCCCCACACCTACCTTATTTGTCTTTATTGTTGTAAGATGTTCCATGAGATATTCTTGGCTGATTTGATAGTGAAGATGATTGAATTGACGATATCCGCATCTACCAGATGATATCAGTTTGTTAATTCTACGAAGAAGCATTGAAAAAAGAAATACAGAAAAAGCATTGCTTTTGCTTTCAGAAATAATTCCCGTATCTGTGCTGCGCGTCGCGCCGAAGTCGATGCCAGATATACCGAAAAGAATATGGATATGATTCTGCCTTCGCTGATTATCGTGACACCGAGACCCTGGCCTGGGGTCGGGGTTCGTCATTCCTTCAACTGAGTCCCGGTGATGGCTGATGTGGGAATAGCCTCACCAGGGCCTCCCTTATTATTTCCTTCGCCTTTTCTCGCCGGTTTACTTATTCTTTTTTTCTTCTTCACGCGATAGATTACGAACATCGATTTCCATCGCCAACAGCTGGCTGAAAAGACTATAAATCTTAGGGTTGATCAATTTGCTGGCCTGTGGGTCCATCAAAACCTCGACTTCGTGCTCACCGGGAAGAAGTTCTTGAGGTATGATACGCGAAAAAACTTCATATTGTGAATTGCGAGTGTAACCTGCTGAAGATGCAAAGTAGAATACAGTACTTTTTCCAGTTTCTTCGCGCGCAAAACATTTTGATAAAATACGGCAGTGAAAATCTAGCAGGAAGTACAGTATTTCTTCGTCCAGTACTACCTTTTCAACAGAAAATAAGGTATAGCGGATTTAAAGAAAAGAAAAAAATAAGCTCATATTGATACTGTATTTTATTTTCCAGAATGAGCCTATAGAAAACATTTTTCGAGAAACTCGTCGTCGTCAAAATTGCAAGAAATGTATTTGAATGATTCTAGTAATATGAATAATTACCAGGATCCAGAGTTTTGTGCACTGATTCCGGAATTATTTTTTGAAGACCCAGAACTTTTCATGTAAAGGTGGACTATACAATATTTTCAGGACTTATTTTCAAATGTTAGTTTTTCTCTAATTACTAAAATTTATGTCAGACGAGGTATTAATTTTAAAGACGCGACTAAAATTTCGGTGATTTAATCAATAAAAAGGACGTTAAAATGTCATTTCAGGAAATCCGCGTTTTATTTAATGTTTTTCAAATACGATAGAGGTTGATACAAAAAAATCCACGTGCTCTTCTGATTTTGTAACTACTGTGTAAAACTTTAGAAAGAATTTTCTAGCGTGACGTGTTCATCCCTCAATGACACTAATCCATGAATATTTTCTTTTTGAATGTCAAAGTTCGTGTTACAGACCCGAAGCAAGATTTTTTTTGCGTTGGCCATCGCATGTCGTCCTCGCTGGTATATCAAAATATAATAAGAATTTCAAAACAGGTAAATGATGTAAATCTGGCACTGACACGACATTCTTCGAGAAAGTTTGCTTTGTTTCGTGATGTCGTAATACTGTAGCCCAGCGAGCTCGTCGAAGGGAACCTCCAAAGTACTGTACTTGCATTAAAAAGCGTTGCCAACATTTCGAATAGAAAGCCTTGACATTTTGCATCTGTATGCGTTTTTTTCGAGCATTTCAAGTCAAAATTATGTGAGGATTTTTCATGGAGCGAATTTTTATTGTTCTTCCAAAAAATGTATGCTTGTCAGAAAGCTGGCGTTTGGCAAGTTCAAGTCTTTCTAGATTTTTTTTTTTGGACTCGTTCCAACATGCTTTCATCGATATGTTGACTCAGTAGTGTCAAGAATTCGAGAGGTGGGAGGGAATTAATCAATTTGAAAACAAACGAATGCGTATGTTTTTCTGGAAAACGAGGAAAAATATGCGCGCAAATATAAAGAGAGAAGGGAAAGATAAACAATCGTATTCGCAGCGCAAATAGAACACGAGCATATTGCAATAACGCCACTCCCTTCCGTGTCGACTTCACACGTGGCCAATGCTTGCTTTTTAGGCATTTCAGCAGTGCAAAATCTTCTTTAGGCGATTAAAATTATTTCCTTCTAAACTGAGTGGATTTCCAAAATGTGTTGTAGTGTTTTCGGAAGGCCCTTTCAGGGATGTCCTCGATGATCTCGTCACGTGTGCCTCAGGGATGCGTACGTACGTATATGCTGTCCGTGATGCTATTCCGGTGTTCCGGAAATCCTGCTTCCTTTCTTCGTCTTCTTTTTCATATCGCGGGGAATTCGATCAGATGTCTGCGAGATCTGATGAAAAGCGACAGGTTCTCTTTTTCCCCCTCTCTCTCTCATCTCTCATGCGGATATATTTTTCTGGGCAGTTTCAAATATTTTAAATTCATGAAAAATAGGGTGTGTGCATAAAAGAAAACTGTGATGAAGGCAGCACTCGGCATTATTTCGGAATTTCTTGACTGATGGACGCGATGAGTTTGATTTAGCATCAGGCATGTGCTTTTCTTGCTGAAGCTTGGTAGATTCATTTGAACATGGAGGTATGTTTCACAAAGCAGTACTTGATCATGTTTTTCGACCATTTATTCTCAAAAATGGTTCTGAATGAATTTCAATTTTAATTTTGAACTCTGTTTAGGCTCTAAAACATGCCAAAATTTGTCCCCAAGTTCAGGATTCTAGCAGTTATTCATCTCACGAGCATGAAAACGTAGTTCTTGTATTTTATGCGGTATGGTTTTCCCCGAATAAATTTTCCCGATTCACTCCGGTACATCAAGAAACCAAAACAAAACAAAAAATCGGAAGAATCCACTGATGATTCAAAAATACGATATTAAAGTCAGAATACAATCCATAACTCGCTTGAACTTTTTATTGGCAGAAATGATTTCATTCGTCAATTTGTTCCTGCCTCGGGCGGAATTGATACAAGAGTTTAAATTACATTCCAGAACGTACTCGTCACAATTCCGCGGGTCATTAAAAGAAATGCTACCATTATTTGGACCCGCCCTTGGATTGCCGGAATATTTCTCATAAACTTTACTTTCAGTCTTAACAAGCCTGTTTGATCGATTTCTCCGCGATTCAGTGCTGAAGTGCTCCTCGTTTTATTGATCAAAAGACATAGTCACGATAAATGAAGCTTCCCAGGGAAATTATCTTGAACATCTCGAACGATTTTATTTTCTCCATAACATTTATAGTAAACGTGGGATATAAATAAAAACTTCCATAATATTTCTTAAAATTTAGATTGTATCAGCTCGGAAAATTGCTCCTCGTCTTTGGCGTCATAGGGAATTCTTAAGAAAACTTATTCATAAACAATTTGTGCGTCTTCCCCTTTTTTGTGCCACCCTTGTAACAGAAAAATCCGGGAATTTGATTATCCATGAGATTATGATTACTGTATCTACAAATTCTCACAAGGAAGAGGGAGAAAATTGAACTCGACGAGAGAATCTCTTTCTGCTGTCAGATTTAGTTTCTGATACATTTTTCCCACATCTAAGGGGCACTTGGATCGCATTTCCACAGACTGTATGACGATGCGATGGCCCTTCTGTCGGACAAGCGGAGGCTCTTTTTGACGAATGCAAGTGCTGAATATTTTACCGAATAAACAAACCCCGAGGGATCAGAAAATACCATCTAAGTGTTTTTTTTCTGGAGAGTTGAGCGAAGGCCGGCATTGCGAGGTCAAAAATAGCATGCATAAAAACAAGAATTTCTTTGATAAAGTTGAGAAACTCCTGATCGAGTGAAAATGAATCAAATGCTGACCAGAACAAGAAACATATTGTCCTATATATCTGTTGTGGCTATTTATTTAATCAACAACTCAACTCGAAAAAAGAAATTTCGTAAACCAAATTCTTGAAAGCATAGTTTCTTATAGACATTCGACGCATTTTCCTGCATTTTTTGGCTTTCACTGTTTTCAGATGCGCTTTTATGATCGCGGGATTCTCATGTTTCCCAACATTATTTCTGATTTTCCAGGATGCTTTTCATTTTAGAAAATATACTGGGGAGAATTCTGGAGAAAGGTTGGTAACCGAGTTCTAGAGGGGACTTGACGTGATAATGGAAGGATAACCGCTTTTTTGCATAGGATTCCAAGTGATAATACTCTTCGAAGGTTTCGTTCGTCGTTATATCCGGTGATTCTCTAGCCTGGATTACGAAGTTCGATAATAATGTTCGGTTCCCTCTCGCAACGAATTTGCAGTGTGTCAGAGCCGTGATCAAACCCACCATTTAGTTTCCATCTAATTTTCTGCTTTCTTTCTTTGCAGAATCACACCATGAATAACTGACGAGTGCGGTGAACTATCGATCGAAACCCCCGCCATTCTCTTTTTCCTTTCCTTCGCCTCAACTCGCGAAGTGAACGTCCCCACAAGAATAAATAGATAAACAAGAACGATTCGAAGACGGTCGCTACGATTGCAACATCGCATATCAGCCCCCTTATCTCCGGTGATGCCTTAAAAAGGGAAGCAACCGACCGTTTCGCTTCTGACCAGCCAGCAGTAGCAGCGGCGAAGAGAAAAACAAAAACAAAAACAACGACCGGAAATCAAAAAAAAGGCAGGAAACACGAAGGGACATATAAGAAGAAGTCATCGGTGCTGGAAGGTAACCGAGTCCGACCGGAACAGGAAACATGGTTGCCGGAACGTGTTGCATCACGCCTGACTGTCCTTACTTCGACCCCAGTGCGGTTATAGTCGAGGCGACGAGTTTCGGGTTGCATTTGAGTAGTAATGACACCGAGGATGCGGCTCAATGCGTGGATGGGCTCCTGGTGCCCATCTGGGGACCCGTCGACACCCTTAGTGCAGGTGAATAAACCGTGAAGTACAGCACTTTTATTCAGCTACCGTATTTTCACTCGAGTACCACGCGCCCTACTCAAGCAAGACACGCAACCCAATTTTGTTTACCCTAAAATTCTGATGTAAACCTATCCACTATTAAAACAGCGGGCGCCAAATATTTAGTGTGTGTTAAAAACTGCAATATTTCATTTAAAAAAAGGGGCAACGAATCCAAATTTTGCCTTGAATTAAACCTACATTCAATTTACTTTCAATTGTTTTGATTTTCAGAAGGTCCAGTCAGAAATGCCCTTTTATATTCAAATGTGACGTACACCGACGCTTCTAGCAATTTACTTTTAATGTCATCCCTACCCATGGCATGCAGCCCCATTTCTGTCAATTTTGAGAAAAAGGTGCATGTGGTGAAGCATTTGTAATATAATTTCCCAAAATTTCCTGCACATACACGTGCAATTTGACCTTTCAATTTGACCTCCCGCAATTTGACCATCCCGGAATCCAATGGTTGAATGTGCAGGGAGGTTGACTTGCAATTCAACCCATGCCCTGCAAACTTCTGCCACTGTTTTTGTGTTTTATACTTATATTTTTGAATTTCGCGAAGCGTCTCGAAATTTGACCCTATAGTTTGGCAATGGATTAGATGCAGATGGCAATGGATTGGATGCACGAAAACTACCTTCCTTTCCAAAACCTTTCTCGATGATTTCTTACCTTTCTTCTTTGGCAAAATAAAGTGGAGTACGTGAGAAAGGAATGTGAAAAACTCGAGCTAAATTCCAAAATTTCTCGTCTTTGAAATTCCCGATAAATCGCATTCTTCGCCTTCCATCTGAACTTCGCATTCGAAGACAACTTTCCCCCCCCCCCCCCCCACAATAATACGCAAAATAAGCCCACTGTTTCGAGGACTAATTTGATTTTAATACGTATTACTGTAGTTCACAAGCACTTCATATTCAACCTTGAATGTTTCCTTTTTTCTTGCAAGTACATCAGGAATACAATTTAATCCCCTGATTTTATCTCACATCGTAGTTCACATCTTATTCATTTCATGAACCAACTTGCGTACAAGCAAGTTGTTGAGTGTTCCATCGGTTAAAAAGCACATCAGCGGAGAACTGGTCGTATTTTTGTTGGTTTGTGAACTGGATTTCAATATATTTTCCGAAGATTCAATTGTTCGAAGCAATGACGTCAAATTTTCATGTGCTGGGTCATTTTCTTATTCCGATTGCAGGCGACCGGTTCGTCCGAGCTCTGGTCTATTTCCTCGGCCTGTGCTACCTCTTCATCGGCGTGTCGATCATCGCTGACCGGTTCATGGCCGCCATCGAGGTCATCACGTCGCA